AATCCAACTTCTGATGGTTTGATGAAAATACGGCATGTGATAAAATAGAAGAATTTTATTATATATGTGAAAATATGTAAAATTAGTATTTCAATTCTCCCAACCCCTTCTCAGTATATCAGGTTAGGCAAGTTACCTTTAAGTGAAAGATTCAGCAGTATAATTAATAGTCTTTATTAAGTCCTGGTAAAACCTTTTTGGTATACTGCCCAGAAACTAACTGAAGAATGATTATAACAACTGGATAACACATCCTTCCACAATATAAGTTCTTTTATTTCAACAAAAGTAAAGAAGAAGTGTCCAATGGAGTTGTTAGCTGATAGATTATTAAAGTTTATTAAAAAATCAAATTTATTTTTATGATTAATTTTTATGTGCTTTTTGTCTATGATTTGGAAATAGTTTATGGAAAGGATATCCCATTCCTATACTATTATTTATGAAAATAAGATTTTTTTTTTTAGAAGATTTTATTTATTTGACAGAGTACAAGCAGGGGGAGGGGTAAAGGGAGAGGGGGAGAACCAGACTCCCTGCTGAGCAGGGAGCCCAATGTGGGACTCCATCCCAGGACCGTGGGATCATGACCTGAGCTGAAGGCAGACACTTAACCGATAAGCCATCCACATGCCCGAAAGTAAGATTTTTTAATACATCTATAATAACAAAGTGTAATAATAGAATTTATGCTGAGCACTCTTTAACTTTAGCAGTAAGAAATATCCATCCATTAATATTTTAATTGATGGAAAAATAAATAACTCATGTTTCTCACTGAGATGAAATTTAAAATAATGACTTTAAAAATTAATAATTCTATCAAAATCTGCAATACAGATTTTTTCATCATTTGTGTACTACTAATTATCATAAATGCTAACTCAATCCAGAAAAAAATGTTAAAACACTTTGACCTTTTTGACATGGTACATTTTTAAACATAAAAATTCAAATTATAGATACTCATAATAGAATCATCAAAAAGTTGTTTTAAAAGCATTTAAATTTGTTATTTGGGATAAAATTCTTTGGGAGAAATGAGAAGGAAATATGAGAATAGAGAAGAATGCAGTAAAATTTCCAACTGCTAAAATATATGTGTATATATATATGTATTTATATATATTTTAATGGTTGTGGTAAATTATTATGGTATTTAAAGTCCATTGGATAAATAGAGCGCAACAATTTTTAAATATCAGTATATACTATATTTTTAAAAAATCTCATCCTTGCAGCATACTTAAAGGTCAACTTAAAAACCACTATAGTTTTTTTCTATTTTCTCCTTCATACTGTAACTATTTATTTTAAACTTTTAACCCTTTTATGAGAATGCAAGTGACTGAGGATATGGACCATGTTTTCTAAGTTTTGTGTCTTTCACAAAATTTTAACAAAGTGTCTTATTCACAGTGGGAGCTTAACTAAATATTTACTGAAGAAATTATTTTTATTTTATCAAAGGGAGTCAGTTGTTTTTACCTAGACTTCAGTTTAGTTTTTCCTACTCTTGATAATCAGAACAACTGCCTGATGGAAATAAAATTTGAATTTAAAAAGTAACTCACGTATTATCTTTAAAATGAGAACAGAAACAACATTGTAAGAAAGAAACAAGGATATATTATAGTAAACCAAACTCATTTTCTTAAATGTGATTATTTTTTATATTAAATAAAGCAACACTTAAGCATTCAGAAATGTATTTATTGACATGAAACTGTAGTGTATATATACCTGTAACTAAAACCAGTGTATTTTCATGATGATCCTTTCTAATGTGCACTAAATTAGAAAGCAGTAAAAACACCAGCAGATGGGTCAGAGTGGTTGGCAACAAACCTTTTCTCCTCAGGTCACTGATAGAATTGTAATGAAAAATTATATATTCTTTTGCGCTTTACTCAGCACCTCTGTTTAGGACACCATAAGCACAAGATAATTGCCTAACATTGCCTTATTTGCTGCATATGCTATAATCTAGCAAGAAGAAGTAGCTTATGCATGTAAACTGGTTTACATGTATAAAGCACTACTGCAGTTTTTCAGGATTATCAAGAAGGTTTGGTGTTGTCCTATGATTATAATTTTGTGGAATTGCATTTAAATATACAGCATTTTACTCTGTACTTAGTATTATTCAAGAAATAATATTACATAGCAACCTTTTAAGAATAACATAACTTAGACAAAAGCAAACTTTAAAAATACAATAAAAACTCAAAACCAACTTAGAAATATCAACTTTGGGTTTAGGAATTAGATAGCCTAAAATCTCCCTTATTTTTTACCATTCCCTTGTCACTGTGAAATTGTTGCTTGAAAGAAGAAAATATTATCTTGAATTTATAAAATTTCTTGTACTCAAAAGAAACTTGGAAAAAATTTAAAAAATTTAGGAAAAGAAAAATTTGGAACTATCAATATATATGACAAACTTTTATTTTAGCAGTATCTTTGTGAATACTAATTCTAGGTAACATTTATTGAGTACCTCCTTTGTACCAGAAACTCTGCTTAACACTTTACATTTAATCCTTACAATGCTCTGAGGTAGGTAATATTACTGTGCCCATTTTACAAGGTCTCCAAATCAAGTTTCATGGATGGCAAAAGGCACACATGGGGACATTCATATCCTGGTGTTCCTGAACTGCTTATTAGACTGTGAGCTCCTTGAGGAGGAAGGGGGCAGAGTCTTAGCGTATCTCAGTGCCATCACAGTGCTGATTACATAGAGGAGAAAGTTAGAGAAGACCCTTTCACTGGGTGTCATGACAGTGGGCAATAGCTAGGTGTAGCAGGTGAGTGGCCAGACCAAGAATTGTAATGCTTTGAACAAGCTGAGAAAAATCACATTTGTTAGGACATTAGAGTGTGAAAAGACTTCCACAAAAATGATAGAGTACTTTGAAAATTAAATGTTCAAACTCACATCTAATTTCCCTATGATTACATCTAATTAACCAGTGCCAATTTTATTATTTATTATGATGTATGAAATTGAAGACCAGGGAGTTTCTATTACGTTAAGCTAGTTCCTTTGTCCTATAAATCTTCAACAGCTTCTTACTTCACCTTAAGGTTTCTTTTCAACTCATTTGTATCTTGGCAAGGAAAAAAATATGGAAGGGAAATCATGTAAATTAGTTCAATTTCTCTGAGGCAGAGAACTCTGGGTTATGAATTTCTGGTGTTTATGTGTTAGTCGAAATAAGTAATTAGAACTTAAAAGTGGTCTTTTGGGTTCTTTATTTAAACATTTACTACTTTATTTTCTTAGTAAATGAGATCAGGAATAGCAATTTGATTAAATCACATTCATCACCTATAAAAATGTTAAACTTCTTTATCATTGTAACTTTGGGCTTCTCAAAGACCACCAGCATCCTGAAGAAGAGGACAAGAGCCACACAGGAGCCATTCTCCTGCTCTTGCCCAATTCAGAGTCCCCACAATTTTTCTAGAGTTCACAAGCTAGCACAAAAGTCTTTTGAACTATTTAAGCTCACTTTAACTGTGTCCTGAAGTCCTAAGTAAAAATAATTTATTCCAAATTGGTCCAAAGGGAATAAAAAGCAAAGTGAAAAGAAATAATTTTATGTTGTCTGGACTGCCAAATTATATAAAGGTAAACAACTCTAGGGAAAAAAAACAAAAACAAATGTTAAGCATTTTTTCCCCTCCACTCATAAAAAGTACTTTTAAAAAAGTGCCTTTCTTTCATGCACATTAAAGCAAACATGAAAAGGATTGACTCAGTGCTCCACTTTGTGGGGAAAACAGCCTGGAGATACTTTAGCTCCCTGCTAAGACTTTGGTATCCATCAGAAATGTATTTCCATAGTTGTAAAATTGACTATAAGTGAAAGTCTGTTTAATCATCTGTGCATTTCCAATTTGCCTACAGAGGTAAAAGCACTTAGAACAGTGCCTGGCACATAGATAGTACACAGGAAATGTTAGCAATAGCAATAGAATGGCTTAGATAGCATCTGTATACTGCTGTGACAAAGAAGGAACGTCAAAGGGGATGACTATCTAACCATAAAAGTAAATAGGGATTTTGATAAAGTCTGAAACTGAGCATTCATGAAGTTTCAGGAGCCAAACCTTTAGGATTCCTGCAATCCTACTCTTTCAACTTGTCTTCAAACATAAATACAGAAAATATGTTTTAACAAACAGCAATCCTTTATTTCAAATTTCCATTAGACTGCTCTAACTTATTTAGGGTTTGAGGAGATATAAAAATGTCCACTTTAATCACTGTTTGAATGTACTTTATAAAAAATACAGCTGAGAAAACCAGGCTGTGCTCAATTTAAAAGCAAACCAAAATAGAGCTCAAAGGACTGAACTAGCAAGGAATTAACATAGGTTTATAACAGATACGAATATTAACTGATAACCCAGGCTATATGACCGGTAAAATCTTTTCAGTGTTTAATCTTATAAAAATCATTTGGTTATCAAGCAAAGGAACTAATTTTTTTTTTCTGAGTACCAAAAGTTTTGGTAAGCCTACCAAAAATAAAAGTTTTTTTTTTATAAACATATCTTAATATACTCAATAAACCATTCCATGTGAAAATACAGAAAAAAAAATTTTAAACAAAATATAAATTCTAAGACAAGAAAAAAGCTGAATGGGAGCAATAGAAACATATCAATTTTAACATGGACCTTTTATTACCACTAGCCAAAGCTCCTTTAGTATGAGGTCTGTGGGTAAGAAAATGCCAACATAATCATATTCAAATATGTAAATGAGCTGCAGCTCCAGGTTTCCAGTCACATGCTTAATGAAGCAATAACATGATACATTGACACTGCTTCCATTTCAGGAGAACCTCATTATAAAGAATAGAGCTAGGAACATTACAATGTACTTGCCCTTCGGTGTAGTAAATTGAGCTAGACTTTTTGGTTTACTTAATTACAGAGTCTTACTATCAAAAATAGATGCTCTAACTTAAAAAAATACTTTCTTTGGTAATTTTGGATGACATTTCTGAGAAAAGCCCATAAAAACTCTCTAAAAAATAAAATAATACTTCAAGACGTAGATATAAAATTCTCAAAGAATCGTCAATTAAAAACACACAACTTCCTTCCTGTTTCTGTTCTTGTCAAAAAAGCAGGTTATCTTTACACAGTCTCTGTAGCTCCAAGGAATTCCATTTCCACAGCAGCTTTGGGCGCTTGGGCCGAGCTACTCTTCTTTCGGAATTCTGCTGCGATTTCCTCGAAGGACTTTCCTTTGGTTTCTGGGACTTTGAAAAATGTAAACAGAGTAAAGGCCAGGACCACTCCAGCAAAGAGGAAAAACACATAAGGTCCACAGAAGTTCTGCATAGAAACAAACAGAGTTCCAATTAGCAGCTGTTTTCCTCCATCTCTGTTCAGCAAATTTGCACAATATTAGGCTGCTTACCGCAATGTACTGGAAACACAGAGCTACAATGAAATTGCAGGTCCAGTTGCTAAATGCAGCTATTGCTAAAGCAGCAGGCCGGGGTCCTTGACTGAAGAACTCTGCCACCATGAACCAGGGGATGGGGCCAGGCCCAATCTCGAAGAAACTGACAAAGAGGAAGATGGCTACCATGCTTACATAACTCATCCACGCCAGTTTATCCTGAGGAGAAAACAAAATGAAAACAAAAGTGGGGTTGGGATTATTGGCTGCTGCTTCCTTTAGCTAAGTGGGCTCTCACTGAGTTCAGAGGTGACGCGGCTCTCTGCCTGATAGGTTTATGTGCAAATAACTACAGATTATTCTGGTCTGAGACAGGTTTATTCTGGTCTCAGTCACGCTTAGATCTTTTGAACCCTGTTATTAGGAAATCCTCTGGATTAGGACTTTGATTCTCAGTCATTCTTCTCCTGTGATAGAAGCAAGGCAAGAGTCTATGAGCTTTGCTCCTATTCATACCAAGATGGCTAGACAGGATGCCTTACCCTCCATGAAGTAGTGGATGAGGATGCTGTGGAGAGGTCCTGGTACTTGCCCTAGGTCATATAGGTAGCCAAATGGCAGAGCCAGTGTTAGAACCTGAGCGGGGCTGACCCCAGAGACTATGCTCTGACCATTTGGCGACGCTGCCTCCCTTGGTAACAAGTGCAATTCGCTTGTGACATTTAAGTCTTTAAACCCCAAAAGCTAGTCCCCCTTTACTTTACATTTCTCCCTTGTATTCTATACTGTTCCTCTGGCTTTATTTTATAAGTCAGTCTCAAATGTTTGGACATACAGAGCACTCTAGCCTGGAACACAGAAGTGCTATCATATGGTAAACAAAAATCTCAGTGCAACAATCTACACTTACCAGTAATATAAGTCCCACAGACATGAAGATGGCACAGACAAACATCCCACTCATTCCTATTAGAAACAGAGAGCGTCGCCCTGCCTTCTCCACAAGGAATACCTAGGAAAGTTTTTAAAACATACTGACTTAGTTTTTACTGCCAAAGAGGTAATTTTAATTCATACAGCTGGAAGGAGGCAGTTCTATAATCCCGTTTTACAGATATGGAACTGAGTTAGGGGGTGACTCTTGCCTCAGGTGGCAGAACTGGTCTCAGTGAGCAGAAGTAATTAACAGATACCTGCTTCATTTAGTCACAGTGATTTGAATAGGCCATTCTGGACAAAGAGCCACCACTCTGCAATTATCACTTGAGTATAGTATTAAGAGGCTGTACATCTTGGATCTCTTCCAGTAGATTTCTTGTACATTTAAAACGGCTCTACATAAAAAAGGACATTAATTTATCTTTTGATAATTATCCTGTTCTAAGTACAAGGTTTTGTGCACAGCAGACAACCTGAAATAGTATAACTGTTGCGTTGTCAACCATTCTCATCCAACTTTCTCACTGCTAAAAAAGTCAAATTACAACCTGGCAACCTACAGAATTTGATCACTTTACCAAATAGTCAGATCTTCATTTTTCTGGTGTGCCTAAAGTGTATTTGGTGCTGGAAGTGAATTATCCATTTGAAAAGATAAGACTTTAAAGCAAAAGCTTAAAGTGCTTTCTTATCCTAATTTAGGAGATAGGTCATTGATACCTTGGGGTTTGTGGACCTTTGCATTAATGTTTAACATTTACAATTATTTTTTCAATTATTATTACAAATATTTGTTTATATAGACTCTTTTTGGGACTATCCTTGGGATACTGCCAAGGTTGGTGAATCACACACAAAAATTATCTGTCATGATTTCTCACTTCAATGAGTAAGTTGGCTTGGCTCACAAATCTATCAGTGAATCAACAGCAATTCAATACCCTTGAGCTCTGGCTCTGAGAATATCTGAGAAACATTTGTTTTCACCTATAGTGAAAGCCCCTTTCATTTCAGAGGCAATTCATATTCGGATTTCAGATCACTTCCAGATGATGAGCAAAGAGCCCACACTTACTGTTGAGAAGGTAGTATGAAAAACACCGCGTGCCCAAGTTCATAACATTTATCTATATAATTTGACTCTATGACTTTCCAAGTTGACTTGATGACACCATGTCAAGCTATCAAGAAAATAGAAGCATTTCTTCAGGAATGAGGGCTTTTACTATGTTTTTTCTGTTTCTGAACAATTGTTACTAATAGGATAATAAATTATGAACTCACTCCTTGATGATGGAGATGTCTGCCTGACCTAGAACCCTTGTCTTTGCCCAAGACAGTGTGTGTCACGCAGATCCTGGATGCCACTGCTTCTCCTCTAGACCTATCTGTGTCCCCATTCCCTCCCCATTTCTTCCTGTTTTGTTTTCTCTCAAGTTCACAGGCCCTCTTCTACCAACCCATTAGTGTGGGAGAAAATATGGAACGTGGAGACATAATTCAGCATGGAGTTAGGAAAGTCTTTCTTTTCCCATATACTCATTCAAAAAAAAAAAAATTGGTTGATTATGTCCCTTCCAAGTTGGTGAAACATTTAATACTTATCAGTGCATATTCCTATTTGTATATCTTTATTTGAAAAGATACACAGAATTCAATAACATTGGTTAATTTAGGGGAGAGGTATTGTGTGACTGAAGGACTATGCTTTTTGTACTTTTTGATCCTTAAAACAACTTTTCAAAAATAAATATAATTAAAAATCTTAAATGTTATCTGTAGCCCTGGAGGGTTAGACAGATGATTAGAGCTGACATTTAAAATGTCACTCATCTGTTCAAAAACTTTCACAGAATAAAAGGATAAACTCTAAAAGGGCATATTCAAAATAATCAAGAAACTTTTCAAAACAACTACTCCTACTCCAGCTGGGTTGGTGGGGAGGGGTGCAAAAATGAAATTCTGCAGTAATTTCCTTTATAGGCATTTAGAATTTGGGTTACCCAATTTTGACAACTTGTCGCTTTACACAGCAAATCCTGTTATATATAAAATGTTTTAAGCATAATTTCTATATTAGAAAAATATGTTGAAGTAGGATTTGTAAAAAATATATCTCAGGAGACAAAAGAATGTGAGTAGCCCTTGGATTACATCCCAGTAGCAGGCCTTCGTCGATTTTCAGTGGCCTTTTGGCTTGAACAGGAATTATCTCTAAAGGCATGTCTACAGAACTGCTGGTGTTCCCTTGTTATCTGTTCTCCCTCCTCTTTCCAAGGTCCAGCACTGTTTAATGTAGTTTGGACAAATCTGCTTTTTGATCTAGGTAGCTAGGCTGTAATTTATTGACCACCCTAAGGTAATAGTTAAAAGTCCATGTGCAGAGAATGAAAAACAAGTCACTGAAGTATGTTGAATACAACATGGTGACCAACATTTAAAAGCACAAACTTTTTGAATATCCTGCATTCAAAGATAAAAATAAGCCCAATTATCTTCATTTTAGAGTGAATTACATGAGTTGGGAAGTTTTAGGGTTTTTTTTTTTTGTGTTGTTTGTTTACTTTAATTCTTAGATTATTTATGTTAAATATTGTCAAGATACTGAATCATTCATTATATAAGGTATTCAGTCTTGAAAAGACTATATGACTTTTCCCCTTGTCAGAAAAAAAATAACATTTCAAAACTAATAACATTTCAAATTATACCACTTCTACTCCATCTCATAATATCACACACACTTTAATGCAGCATCAGAAGTTATGGCCTTGTGAGCTATCTGGAAGCTCTGTCCATTAACCTAATATCATAAGAATTTGCTGAGTCTGTTTAACCCTGTCATGGGCATAGATATGTTACAGAAGACTTTATTTTTTTTAAAAGTGTTTTTGCCAAGACATCAGGATAAAAAAAGGATTTCAACCATGGAAAGAGAGGAAACTAGGTAGAAGACCCAATATTGATAGGAATGACAAGTAGTCACCTGATCCCAACAGATTCAAGTACAGAGCAAAGGAAAAGGAATCCATCTATTTACACAAGGAAGAAGTCCTCTGTGCCCCCAAGTAAGTTATTAATTCACAAATGAGTGACTAAATGGCATCCTAGCAAATGGGGACAACCAGTGATCCACTTGTTCAGCCATGCCTAGTAGTTTGCTATTTGCATATAGGACTCTTCCCGTGACCCACTTGGTTCTATACACCCCATACATATGAGCAATAAAACACTGGTTGCTTTTAGGTCACAAGGTACCCCTCTCCCCCATTTCTGAACTGAGGAACAAGTAGCCTATTTTATCTAGGGTATTAACTCACAGAAAGAGCAGTGAAAACCATGTTGATGGCACCAACTCCAATGGTTGCATAAACAGGTTGGCTGATTCCAGCTGTCTGAAAAATGCTGGTTGAGTAGTAAAAGATCTGTAAAGTAATAACAATTTAGCTTTAATCAAGAATCCTAGCACTGGTAGCTTGAAAGCAAGAAATATTTTAGGTTGTTTATTTTTAGTAGTTTCTATGGAACCATGGTCCCTAGAATGCCCTAAACATTTTATCTGTCCAGGCAATGAGAAACCACTATCAACCTTTAGTGTTTGAAACTTGTGATTAAAGTTCTTCTTAAATTTAGCTGAAAACTCTGAGTCTGCATTATCTTGATATGTATTTTTTAATTTTTAAACTTTTTGTTAAGGTATAAAATACATACAAGAAAGTACACACAACATAAGTATACGGATTAATTTTTACAAACTGAACACACCTGTGTAACCAGCACACAGATCAAGAAATAAATAATTTCCAGTCTTTCAGAACCCTCCAGAATATCCCCCTATTTTTCCAAGGAAGCTCTTCAACCTCTAACATCATAATAAATTTTGCCTAGTTTTGTACTTGCTATAAATGGAACCACACAGTGTGAATTATTTGGTATCTGGCTTCGACATTACCTTTGTGAGAATTATCTATATAGTTGTGTGTATTTGTACACTGTTCGTTTTCATTGCTTAGCATTTTTTTGTATTAATATACCACTATTATCCAATCTACTACTGATGGGTATTTAGGTAGTTGTCATTTGGGTGAATATGAAAGGTGCTGTTATGAACATCCTAGTATAATCCTTGTGGTGAAATATGTACACATTTACATCTAGGAATAGAATTACTAGATCATAGTGTATGCATATGCTCAGTTTTGATAGATATGGCAAGTGGTTTTCCAGAAAAGTTGTGTCAATTGACACTCTTGCCAGCATGTATAAGAATTCTGGTTGCTATTGCTTTTAATCCAAAATTTTTCACTAATCTCCGTAGACATGGAGAAATCTTCAAAATCTCTCTAATGGCCTTTATTATTAATTATGTTTTTACGTTTATAATGGTCTTTTTAAGGCCATTCTGTCATTCTCTCATCCTCTCTCATTCCTTCCCCATTTAACACGTCCTGTTGCTGGCACCTCCTCCTGCAGATAGGGCTAACGGAGAAGGACGGTACAGACTGTGCTCAGAGAGGAGTAGCTTATGGCACACTGCACACTATCCCACATTTTTAGGCTGCCCAACAGCTTCAGTTCAACATCTCCTGGATGCCTCTAAGTCAGGCACTGGGATAGTAGCTAAAGCAGGGAGGTTCAGAAAGACTAAGTATTGTTCCTTTGGATATACAGGCAGAGCTGAGAAAATGGATACAAATTTGGTCTCCAAACCCCAAAGTTATATAGAGTATTAGATTAAAGGAGGATAGAGATGACAGAAGAGCAGTATTCACCTTGTTGAGTGAGGTCCAGGTCTCCTTTTGTCTCAACAGATGAGAATTACTTTCTTTACCTCTCCCAAGACTCTGCCCATCCACAAGCCACCCCCTTGTGGATCTGTAATTAGCTCATAATAGGGGAAGCCCAAACCACATTTTTAACAGCAGTAAAAGAGGATAAGTGATTTTTTAAATCTATTTTTTTTAGCAAATGCTTACTTTTTTTCTTCTAGTAGCTAATTGCCAGTAGAACAGTTTTAGTCTGTGTAATGCGGTGATTTCAGTTCAAAACCTAAAAACTAGCTAGTTTAACATTCAGTATGTTTCTTAATGATGTCTTGTCTACTGCCCTCATTCACCAATGTCATGCCAGTTCACACTATTGTTTCTTTTGTATGCTGGCTCCCCAAATAGAGTGAAAATTTCTTTTCTTTTTTTTTAAAGACTTTATTTATTTATTTGACAGAGAGAGATACAGAAAGAGAGGGAGCACAAGCAGGGGGAATGGGAGAGGGAGAAGCAGGCTTCCTGCCAAGCAGGGAGTCCAAAGGCAGATGCTTAATGACTGAGCCACTCAGGCACCCCTAGAATGAAAATTTCTTGCATGGCTGGAAACTTCTTTGCACCTGGCCATTTGGTTTGATTTTGTTTTGTTTTGTTTGTTTGTTTGTTTGTTTATAAGTAGGTTTCACACCCAGTGCAGAGCCCAACACAGAGACCAGCGTAGGGCCTGAATCCACAGTCCCAAGATCAAGATCAAGAGTCTGATGCTCAACCAACTGAGCCACCCAGGTGCCCCTGGTATACTTCACTTAAATAGGTAAAGGGAGGTGGGTGCCTGGGTGGCTCAGTGGATTATGCGTCTGCCTTCAGCTTAGGTCATGATCTCAGGGTCCTAGGATTGAGCCCCGCGTCGGGCTCCCTGCTCAACAGCCTCCTTGTCCCTCTCCTTCTGCCCCCTCCATGCTCTCTCTCTGTCTAAAAGAAAGAAAATCTTTATAAAAAATAATAAAGATACATAGATAAAGGGAACCATGGACTCCTTTTGCCTGGACTATCAGGAATCCTAAATTTGCTATTCAACTCTAGAAGCCCCTTAATTTAAGGGTTTTTTTTTTTTTTGGTATAATTATTCTCCTTTTCCCCCTTTTGTATTAATTATGATTTTTGCTTTTTACCTTCCATCTTAATAGACACAGTGTCATTGATTGTTGACATTTTTTAAAAATTCGAATCCAATTTTAGAAAGCAGATGAGGCAAAACAAAGAAAATTAATGCTCAGTATATGTTTATTGTAGTAAAACATGATGTCAACATTTTAAAATGCCTTTAGTTATTTAAATTTATACCCCTTTCCCAGGGTCCAGAGTCTCTTATGGTTCATCTCCCTCTCTGATTTCTGGATATTATACGTAACTAATGAATCATTGAACACTACATCAAAAACTAATGATGTACTATACAGTGGCTAACTGAACTAACGAAGTAAATAAATAACTCAAGAAATTCTAATACAAAAAAAATTTATACCCCTTTCTTTCCCTATTTTAGGGAGTTAAAGAGTATTCTTAAACTTACCCCATTGATTCCAGAAAATTGCTGAGCCACATGCAGCATCAGTGCAACTAGAATAGGCTGTCGGTAGCTAGAGTTGGTGAAGAGCTGAATTATGGAGACTTTCTGTTCACTGGATGCTTCTTCCTTTTCCTTTCTCATCTCATTGATGTCTTTGGTGACATCAATACCTCCTCTGAGTCTTTTCAGGCCTGCCCACAAAATGATCAGATTGATAAACTCAGGTCAAAAGAAAAGCAAATTTATTTTTATTATGTTAATGAAAGAGCTATAGTTCTGCATAGCCCTTTCTATTGCTTTACAGCGTGAGTGTTGGCAATTCTTTTTGTTAAATTAAATCCTGTTTTTAAATTTTGAGAAAAACATTTGGCTTTATCTAATGACAAAGAAAACTATGATCTTTGTTACCATAGAAGCATAATGCAGGTAAAGTTCTTTTAGAAGCCTCTGGTTGAGTCCAATCCCTTGCACATGGGTTTCCCATTTGGGATCAAGTGTTTATGGGTTTGAAATGGCATGTGTGAGTCATATTGAAGTGATCTTGCACATTCTTCTTACATGTAATCATTAACTTCATTTGGAAAGCGCTCATACCAACTTGACCAGTAAACATTCTTGCACACTGTTTTTCATTAGCTGATAGTTCCAAAACAATAGGAAGAAAGAAAACCATCCACAGGCTTACTTTTCTTTGCTTTGACTTCTTCATCCAACTTGATGTAAAGGTACCTGGGGCTTTCTGGACAGAAGAAGAGCAGCAGAGACTGGATGATGGCTCGCACAGCAGACAAACCAAGCAGGATATGCCACCGCTCATGATTGCCCAGGATAAAGTTGAGGCCAACAATCTGAAAAGGCAGGAGGAAGCATGGCAACTGCACAACACTTTGGGTTTGCCTTCTGTAACCATTTGTTGAAAAAGTACGTTGGTTATTTAATAGTAATCCCTGACAACTTTGATTCAAGTATGCCCAAAGCAGAAACTATTACTAGTGTGTATTACTTAACTAAATTTGGGACTATTTGTTTTACAAAGAGTTCACTTAAATTTGTTTTCATTAACGCATATGGGCCATTTAGGATGGGAAACAACCAAACTTTTAAGAACACATTTGACATCTAAAGCAACCCCAAAAATCATGTGTAACTTTGGACCCTAAAAAATTTCTCCTTAGATTACCCAGAAAAATAAAATGGGATTATATAGATAGAATAATTATTATAATAAGACCCAGATTTATCATCCTTATTGCAGTGGTTTACCCTCTGGATAATCCTAAATTAGGGGTTCTGAGGACTCTGAGTCCATGGGATGGAAGGGGAGGATAGAGCCAGCTGAACAAAAAACTGCTATGGTAAATATACACATATTAATTGTCCAGGTAAGATGCTCAAAACAAAGGAAATCCAGCAGTTAAAAATGTGAAGTTTCCAATTCTTTGAAATCTGAACAGAATAATTTAATTCTAGACTAGCTACAAAAGTTCAAGACCTGGCATGTTGGGTCATCTCTAGTGCCAACCATACCACAGATCCAAGGGGAGAAGTGAGTGGAGCAGTAATAATTTAGCTTTGAGCTAAAAAGCCTAAGTCTCTACAGCATCCTCACTCCCAATGGTGGAACTAGTTTTTTCCGCTGTGTTGGTTTATGAGGGAGGGAGAAGCTGGATAAAGTAGAGGATGGGTGAAGTAGGGGATGGGAGTTTTTACCTGACTAATAAGAATGCCCGTGACAATGGCCAGCTGGTGAAGTGTGCCAAGAGCACCCCTGAGTGTGGTTGGAGCAATTTCACCAATGTACATTGGAACCAAGCCTGAAATTAGTCCTGCATAAAACATGAACATAAATGTGAAAGTGCAGCCAGGACTATCTCAATAACAATAATTTGGTTTAAGTAAGTATAGTCAATATCCTGACTAAAAGGTCCTTTCAGAGTCTGTTGGAAGGCCCGTTGTCCCCAGTCATAGACACAGTTTATGCAAAGAATATTTGTTGATAAGACTCAATTGAAGTTGTAGTTGGATATAGGAATAGAAAGAAATGGTTAGTCATGGATTTGGCAATTATTCATAGTATTGCCTTATTTAGTTAAAGCCTTGTTAAAATTGACTTTACATCATAATGCCTCAAGTTGTCTTCAGAAAAGAGACTTGAAGAATGCTTTAATAATATTCTTGATCTAAACTCATAGTATTAAAGGAAATTAGAACATATCTAGACCAATCTTTTACTTGACAGAGGTGAGAAACAGTTTATCCAAGATCATAGTGCAATAGAGCTTTAGCATGAGAACTACAAGCCCTGAGTCTCCACAATGTGGAAGTACCTCAAGATCACTGTTAAAGTGGTGAGGGAGGTGTGGACAGGTGGAAGAGGTTAAGGAATTCAGGGGCTCTTCCCTCAATTACTCCACCCAGAGCAACCCAGCTTCTTCTTTATTCTCTCCTAACAATGGGCTTCAGAAAAGATTTTGGTGCTGAAAGGAATACCAAAAAATTGAAAAGCCCTAGGCAATTCTGCCTTCTATAGCTTTCTTAAACACAGATGTACTCAGTCGTTGGAAATGGTGGAGTATCCAGCCATTTGCTGAGTGCATAAAAAGGTTAGAAACTATCAACAAGCAAGGTTGAATGCAATGTTTAGCGTTTTCTTGAGAATTTAAAAATAAGACTTGTTAGAGTCTTCCTCTTAGCGAGTTTGTCTATAAAATGAAAATATATGGTTTTGTGTAAAAGATGAATTTGGGAACTCTTTCAATATGTTTTTAATGCTTTAAATTGTTCTTAATATCTCTCATGAACAGTTGCATGATTGATATGGCATCTGAATTTTGGCTGACATTTACATGTGACTCTAATGTGTGGTCTATTGAACTTAAATAAGAAAAAGCCCATTTAGGGCGCCTGGGTGGCTCAGTCGTTAAGCATCTGCCTTCGGCTCTGGTCATGATCCCAGGGTCCTGGGATCGAGCCCCACATTGGGCTCCCTGCTCAGTGGGGAGCCTGCGTCTCCCTCTCCCACTCCCCCGCTTGTGTTCCCTCTCTCATTGTGTCTCTCTCTGTCAAATAAATAAATAAAATCTTAAAAAAAATAAAGCCCATTTATTTGTCCCTTTTCCAGGCTGTACTCTCTGTGTAATACCTCCTATTGTAGCTCAAGAACATAATAATGTAGATAAGCTCACAGGTCTGAGTTCACACAAATTTAAAGTCAAAATATATTTCCTATAATTTTTAGCAATTTTAATGCTCAGAACAGGACCAGGCATAATTTTAAAAGATAATTGGGGAGTACAAGTTACTTGGTTATGCTAGTGATAGGTTGCTCCACAATGTTTATAGCATTTTTCAATTTTCCCAAAAATATTCGTGATTTTTTTTCATACTGTATTTTTTAAAATGGAGAAAGAAGAAAGAAGAATCATGATTTGGAACTCCTTGATAATGTTATTCTTTGCATTTTACAGAACATCCAGTTAATATATCTAAGGCCAGGCAGAGACAGTGCCAGAATTAATTCATTCTGAATCTAAATCTCTCCACATGTGGGTTGCCTCTTCACCTTGATAAAGCTATCCTAACTTTCAGCTATTTGTATTAACATTGAAAACAATGAAAAGAGACTTTTAATTAAGTTATTAACTTGTGGGTATTTTGGACTTTTGTTTCAGGGGATCATTGAAGACACATGAAGCTATAGTCTTTTCTCTTTGCAAGTAAAAACTATAAACATTTTATACATCATTTTGTGCTCTTGCACCCTCCCCTGGCCCCAGTGGATATTAGTGCTTTGAAAGACAGCTCTATGATTTGGGACAATGGGTTAAAACCTTGACTCCAAACCATCAGAATCAGGGCTTCACTGGCATTGAGAAGCTAAAGATTTGGCTATTTTAGAGATGAAGTGATCCTCCCTTTGTTCAGACCTCTGCTGATTAAATTTGCTTCTGAAAGTTTGAAACTTCCAAAACTTTGAAAAGTTTGAAAATAAATAAAAAGATTGTATTTATTTATTTGACAGAGAGAGACACAGTGAGAGAGGGAACACAAGCAGGGGGACTGGGAGAGGGAGAAGCATGCTTTCCGCAGAGCACGGAGCCGATGAGGGGCTCAATCCCTTCCTTCTTTCCCTCCCTCCCTCCCTCCCTTCCTCCTTCCCTTCCCAAGAACTAGTGATTCCAGATATTCAGATGTGAGGTTCGCAAGGGGCGCATCATTTGTCCATTATGAACTCCTCTACCAGCTGCCCCTGCCTGACTCCCTCTCCCTGCGGTCACTGCCACTGTAATGCTTCACCCAGCCACATCTGAAATCCAACCATTAAGGGAATGTGGTCTGAGAGATGGGCTTGGGTGTCAAGGTCTTTCCAGAAAGGAGAGACAGAGACCTAGGTGGCCAAGTAGGCCATAAGAGCCAAGTTGGAGGTTCTGGATGTAGCAGTGTGCCATTGTCTACTGCAGAGCAGGAGCAATCACAACAGCTGGCTTTTCTCGGCAGCTTACTATAGGCAGATTCTTTGCTGAATATTTTACATGTATTCTTACAAGTGCCCTACATCGTACATACTATCTCCTTCATTTAACAGATCAGGAAGCTATGAGTTAAATAATTTATCTTCGATTATACCACTGGAAATTGCCATGAGCAAGAAGATAGTTTCACAACTCCCACTTATGGGTCCCAAACCTCCCTGACTCAGGACTTCAATTTTATGCTATTGCCTTTCCCTTTCATGATACCACCTCCGGCTTGAAAACTTCCCTGCATGTTACCATATCTGCCTTCAGAATGATTTTAAGACAAGTGTGTATGTGTGTGTGTGTGTGCGTGCGTGCGCACGCACACGCATATGTGCACGCATGTGTGCATGGATGACTTACCACAGTAGAGTCCTGATATGCTTCTTCCTGAAATTATAAGAATGTGAGATGGTCCCAGTTTTGAAAACCCCATCAAGAGAGCTCCAACTAATGAGAGAATGTTTGCTACCAACATGGCTTTGATTCTGAAATTTTAAAAAGCAAGAATTACAAATTCAGCATCAAAATTTGATAAAATTATTTGCTTTCGGAGTATGCTAAGATATTTACTTAAGAGCAGTTATTTTAATTTTTCTAAAAAAGTTAGTTGGGGAATTTTAAACCATGATTGCTAGTTTGATTTATCTGTGGACTAAAGCATTAACAGTAAATAATGTTTTATAATGAAAAAATCTGGGTTTCATGCATGTGATCTCCACATTTTAATAGAGATGATTCAGTTGTGTTGGTGACTGACTGGTTTGATTTAAGATAACACTTCTGAAACTTTTTCAGTTAACTAGTTAAGTTTTCTACGAGTTGCTTGTTTTAAGTAATAATTGTCTGGTGATAGCTACATTCAACACTAGTTGTAACCTATTACCTCCTCTTTCTTTCCCCTCTTTCTTCCTTCTCTTCTCTTTTTTCCTTCCTTCCTTCCTTCCTTCCTTCCTTCCTTCCTTCCTTCCTTCCTTCCTTCTTCCTTCCTTCCCTCCCTTCTTCCCTCCTTTCCTCTCCTTTCTTTCTCCCCCCCCTTCTTTCTTTCATTCTTAATGGTGCAAGTTTTTAGTTGATGTAGATGATGTAAGGAACTTTCAAAGTTAAATTTTAAGTGTTTTATCATAGAGAATTATAATTATTCTTATTTTAACATTGCATGTCATCATATTTGCAGAACCTATGAATTAATGTCAACCAACGTAAAATATGTAATAAAGCTGACAATAGCAAAAAAACATCATTTTCAAAATTAATCCTGTGAAAATTAACAACATTTGCAGATATCTGATACTTTTATTCCTATTAAATGGGAAAGTGGGGCACAAAAACCTTTAAAGTTCAATAGATGATGATAAGGCCAGTAAAAGAATCTGAATGGACAGGTGTGGAAATATTTGTGCCACAAAGAAATGTAAGCATCTTGTTATGTTCTGTGTCAGTGTTTCAAACTTGAATAGCTGAGCTTTTTCTAAGCAAGTATCTTTAATGCCAGACAGATTTTTTTTTCCTGGAGAGTAAAATTATATAGTCTTATACTGCAATGATTGCCCAACAAGTATGTGATAGGCTTAATAATATCCCATAAGAGTCCACATCCTAATCCTCAGACTCTGGGAATACATTACCTTATATAATAAAAGGGATTTTGCAGATGTGATTAAATTAACAGTTTTGAGATAAAGAGATTATCTTGGATTATCCTGGTGGGCCCAGTGATGGAATCACAAGTATTCTTCTAAGAGGAGGGCGGAGGAGAAGATAATGTAATGGCAGAAATACGATTGGAGTAATGTACTTTGAAGATTGAAGGGAGGGGCCACAAGCCAAGCAATATCGTGACCACCGGAAGCTGGAAAAGGGCAAGGAAATGGGTTCTTCCTTCAGAAACTGCAGAAGGAACCAGCCCTGCTGTCATCTTGGCTTCAGCCAAATGAAACTGAATTTGAGCTTCTGACCTCCCAAACTATAAGAAAATAACTTGTTTTCAGCCACTGTTTATGGTAACTCATTAGAGCAGTAATAGAAGACCAACATAGGAAAATGTCAACTACTCAAAGGGAGGGGAAACAGTGATTTAGAGCTGGTCAGTTTCAGAGCTGCGGAGCAGGAAAAGACAGGGCTATTTCTCTCTCAAGTGCTTTTTCTCTACTCAAGTTCAGAGGGCAAACAAATTCAGTAATTTACCTTAAGAAATTGTTACTAGCTGGCTAGTAGTATATATTCTGTTAGGGAGACAAACTCTTAAAAGAGATAGCTTGAAAGTATATTTGATGCCAGATTGCTCTAAAGTCCCTCTTCCTTATCATCAATGGGTGCTAGAGCACTTTGTACAACTTAAAGGATTTTAACTTCTGCTCAGATATGAGAAATGGCCAAGAATAAAGAATCCAAAAATACATGAAATCACTGAATCAGGGAGAAAGAACTATATTTCTAAGTATATTTCTTTAAATTTTGCTCTAAATACTCCTGTTAGCATAGGGTTTAACACTGTCATGATCATTGTCTTCATCAGCATCAGCATCAAAGTAAGGCTACATTCAGTGCCTGCTTACTGTGTGCTAGGCATTGTGATAAATCCTCTGTCTGTGCTCTCATGTAATTCTCACAATAATGCCATGAGTTAGGTATTATTTTTTCCTACATTGTAGATGGATGGGGAAACATCTTAGAGAACCTAAGTGACTTGCTCATTTTCACACAACTATTAAGTGTTAGAGCTGGGGCTTGATCTGTGTGAAACCAAAGGTTAATGCTTGATTTTAGTGAGTTCCATTTTTTTATACAAAAGAAAGAATGCATTTAAAGGCAGGCTATGTATACCTTCCTTCACTTACAGTAGTGTGGATTGCACAGACCATGGTCTTCTCCACCATGTCATTGTAATTAAATTTTAAGTACACAACTTCGGGAAAAATTGACTGAGAAGCCAAATCTATAAAGCAGTGGCCACAGACATTTATTGCTTATTACACAATTATAAGGAAAGACTTTTTTTTTAAAGAAGTAATGGAAAAATAAGCTTTTATTTACTTATTTTTAATTGATGGAGCAATGACCTGGTCAATAAGGAAAATCATGTCATTTCTCAATGAATCTTCCTAGGAAAACAGTTTTATAGGAGAGACTGAACTCTTTTGTCCTAATTTTGATGTGAAAATTATTATTTTTTATTTTTTTAAGATTTTATTTATTTATTTGACAGAGAGAGACACAGTGAGAGAGGGAACACAAGCAGGGGGAGTGGGAGAGGGAGAAGTAGGCTTCCCATGGAGCAGGGGGCCCAATGCAGGGCTCGATCCCAGGACCCTGGGATCATGACCTGAGCTGAAGGCACCCCTGATGTTAAAATTATTAATTTTGTGGCTGCTATTTATGGAGAATCATTTTTCTACTGATACTTGGAAGAAGCCTCACTTTTAGTTTACTGAAGTCATTTGATAAATGATCATTTGACATTGTTTTGGGGTATGACCATTGTTGATGCTAAATTCTAAGACTTGAGAGGGTGTGCATCCTGTATCCATCACGAGGACATGAATTAAATGCTTTAGAGTACATCACTAGACATGTCAAAATCTCATTTCTAAATGAGATGAGAACAAGGGCTTACATTTTCTTCTTCCTTCCTTCCTTCCTTCCTTTCTTTCTTTCTTTTCTTTCTTTTCTTTCTTCTTTTTTTTTAAGTAAGCTCCACGCCCAACTTGGGACTTGAGCTCACGATCCTAAGATCAAGAGTCGCAGGCTCCACCAACTGAGCCAGACAGGCACCCCTTAAATTTTCTCTTTAGGGGTGGAAGAGGTACTTGTTCTTTCTCTTACTTTCTCTTACTTACAACTCTTACTTGTTCTTTCAAGTAAGAACAAGAATAAAACTTGGGTTATTATGCTACTCATTTTTTTAAAGATTTTGTTTATTTATTTGAGACAGAGAGAGTGAGAGAGAGCATGACAGCGGGGTGAGGGGCAGAGGGAGAAGCAGACTCCCTGCTGAGCAGGGAGCCTGACAGGGTCATGACCTGAGCCAAGATGCTTAACTAACTGAGCCACCCAGGTGCCCCAATGATGCTCATTGTTTAAGAAAACTTCTTACAGTCTTATATAAAATCTCCAGTGTAAGAGAAAGAAATTATCAGAATTTTAATGAGAGAGATAAAATTATAATTTAAAGTAAGAATTTAAAAACTAAATGAATTGTAATCTAGAATTACTAAAATAGTTACCTCTATCATTTACATCTTTAGAGGTTTTTGCATTTTCTAAATTTTCCATATTTGCACATTTATTTTTATCATCAGAGAAAAAGATCATTAATAAACAAAAGGTGGCCTCAAAACAGAAAATGAGTCCAAAAAAAACCCATTCGATTTTCTGATTTTATTTCCTCTCTCTGTGTGTGGGGGTGGAATCCCAATTTTTAGTATGTCACATGACTAAGTGAATGAAATTTAAGTGTAAAGGAGTTCCAGGGAGTTTTTTTTTTTATGACATTTTTAATCCAACACACTTGATAAAAACCAGGGTAAAGAAGTGGAGACACTACTTGCTTCATCTCTGGTTGGGGTTTTGAGAGAGCAGTAGCAACAGCTAGAAACCCATGCCAAGTATATTGGGCAATTGGGAGTTAGGAATATTGATTTGACCCTTAGGACTTGACTGATCCAAATGCCAAATTCTAATTTGAAAATGAAAAACTGGATGTCTGAGAAATGGAGTGATTTAGTGAAGCAAACAATGGATTTCCTGGTTAAAAATTTCACTCTTAGCTCTGCCATTGAGTTCCTGAGTTAACCATTTATGTAGTGGTTTCTTAACATGTTTTATTTTATTTTAGTTTTTTAAAGATTTATTTGAGAAAGAGAGAGAGGAAGAGTGAGCAGGGGGAGGGGCAGAGGGAGAGGGAAAGTATCTCCAGCAGACTCCCCACTGAGCGCTGAGCCTGATTTGGGGGTGGGGGATGGATCTCAGGACCCTGAGATCATGACCCAAACCAAAATCAAGAGTCAGACACCCAACTGACTGAGTCACCCAGGCACCCCAATATGTTTTAAAACTAACAAATTTAGAGAATCAAATCAGTTCTGTGGAAATACACACCAAACCCACTTTTGCTATAAATGCCTCCATGATTAAGCAGACTAGGGCAACAGCTTTCTCCATTATTTGTCCTAAAACCTAATTCATAGGTTCATGAATTGAAAAGAACAACTCTGAAACTATTCCACAAAAGGAAAGAGGATTTCTTTCTAAACAAAGTTTTAGAAACCCCAAATACTAAAGTTTCCATGTTTATGCTTATTTATGAAACTTGCCTACCTTCCAAGCCGATCCCCTAGCCACCCACCAAAAAATGATGCAATCATTCCACCAACTGCAAAGCTAGACACAGACAAGGACCAGAGCATGGTGACGAGGCTAGTAGATGCTGTAGTCTCTTCCTCCACCAAAGGTGTTGTTATTGAATCTCCTAGGAATGGGACTGTGGGCAGTTCCTTTGTACTGTTGATAGTATAGTTGTTGATAGCTTTTCGGTCATTCACTGGAATACCCAAAACGTATTCATAATGGGATATTATTACCTGAGGAAATAAAATAAAGAAAAATAGCTCCAACATTTCAAATATTCTATACACCTTTTGTTTGTTTTTCCTTTAGAATGTTTGTTAGGTGTTTAAAAGGGTCATCCCAATGATGTGTATTATATACAAACACAGATAGATTTACTTACAGTTGACCATATCCTGTAAAACAGAGGTTGCAAATTCCAGTGCCCACAGGAACTAGGCAGGAACAAATAAGTGAAGGAGAACCTTGATAACTAGAGGACTGAAATACTGTCTCTACTATTGAGAATATAAGAGCAAATAGGCAAGATTATAGCACTGGAGAGCATTTGCCCCACCTAAAGAAGGAAGCTGCAAATGTGAGACTAGTATTGCGTGACCTTTAATTTTTAAAAAAGAAGCCAGAAATCTGGGTTTTTATGTAAAATTCTTCAAGTTTTAAGTGCAGGCATCTATTCAAATTGAAAATATTCTGCAGACAAAAAGACACATTTTCACACCATATTACCTCTGCACAGCAGGGTTTAAATTGATTTATGTAAATATTCTTCTAATAGAAGCATAAAAATGGCTGTAAGAAAAAAGATTGGGAAAGATAAGATGAAGCCAAAAATAAAGTTAGTATACAAAATATAAACCCTAGGTGCTGTATCCTTGCTAGAAATATGCTATAATTGTTTTAAAAGATTTTATTTATTTTTTCATGAGAGACAGAGAGAGAGAGAGAGAGAGGCAGAGGGAGAAGCAGGCTCCCAAGGAGCAGGGAGCCCGATGCGGAACTCAATCCCAGGACTCTGGGATCACGACCCGAGCCAAAGGCAGATGCCCAACCATCTGAGCCACCCAGGCGCCCGAAATATCCTATAAATTTACCAGTAAACTTCCTAGAAGCCAGTGCAAAGAGAGGAAAACAATCATGTATATTGATAAAAAATAAAGATAAAAATAACTCAGTGGCCCCTGAGAAGGGATTGATACCTGAAGGAGTTTCTTCCTCTGTGTCCTCACAGATTTCAGTATGTAATAGAATGAACAGAACTCAAAATTAAATTTCACAGAGCCATAGTTTATCCTGTGTTTCAGAAGAGGCAAAGATCCTACCAAAGTATAATTGAGTAAAGGCACAGCCTTCGGGATTCTTTCCTTGTCCTTCCTCTCAGTGCTGATTTGGTCACTATTCAGTGGTGTGGGAGGACCTCTGACAAGGACTTGGAATGAAGCTGCTCTAGGTTGTCAGTCATGGGCAAGGCCCTATGTGGTAAAATCAACTGAGTGAAGGAGCGGACTGATATCCTCTTGTGATAAAAGAAGTCTGACCAAGACATTTACCTCATTAGCAGACCATTTTACATGGATAATATGCATAGAAAAAAGGCTAGAAGGAACGATCTGAAATGTTCTCAGCTGTTTGCTCTATGTGGTAGAATTAGTATAGGTGATTTGTTCCAAATACTTTCTGTAACAGGTGTGTATAGTTTTTATACTCATGAAAAAGTGTGATTTTAAAATACCCTTAATGCCACATGTCATTCCACTAACAAAAAACACAAATGAAGCTGAACATCTATGCTTCTATAATGATGTTTAAGCAGCTTGTTAAACACAGAAAGAGGGGTTCTAGAGAGGACACGAAGCCCAATGCCAGTGGGGGATCCCTATTTTCAAGTCTGGCTCTAGGACTTGGATTGAAGGAAGGGAAACCTTAGCCTGATTTTCTCTCTCCTTCCCTGGAGAAGATGGTTTAAATAGGATGTGAAAAGGTCTTCCACAAAAAGAGACTCTACTGATTCTAAATTACAGTGATGCTGAACCAAATTTCAAGAAGGCTGCTAAACTGGCACGTGTTGTCATCACCCACAGAAAAAAGTGGTGACCCCCAGCATTGTTATCTAAATCTCTCAACTACAGCAAGACCACCACACTCATGATAATATGTGGCACCCAACCAAAGCACATCTTCTGGCCCAAGGAGCAACGCTTTCAGGTGATAGCCTGTGGTCAGTACACATTTTCCTTGGAGTGCAACATTGTAAGGGAAGAAGGTGAAATATGATGTATTCATAGAAGGCACCTAACAAATGCTTGGACCTTCATTTTATACTGCTCCCCCCCCCTCCGCTTCTCTCCTCTCTTCCTCTCTTTCCTAACTAACCACTTTGTTGAACACCTTTATGCTAATCATTGTGCTTGGCACTGGTGACAGGAAGAGGAAGAAGACAATCCTTCCCTAAATGACCTGCCAGCCTTAATTAGACCAAAGGGAATGAAGTCTAGGTCCCCCACTTAATAGGCTGTGGGAGCTGAGAAAATGACATCCCCCTCCTGTTTATTCATTGTATACCGGAGTAGGGCTGCACAAAATAAATGAGACACGTGATAGAAATTATTCAGTATTATTTTTAAAAACACCCATCCGAATAGTTATCGTGGAGAAATCCAAATTTTGTAGAACTTCCAGACTATTACTTAGCAGTCATATATCATTTTACTTTGGATTAGCTAGGAGGGACAGAATTAGGGGGAAGGATAGGACCTTCTTAGTGTTAGGGCTCCTAAAGTCTTTCATCTGGCCTGTGATTGGGCATAATAAGGTTTTTGGAGGTTAGACTAGGGAGAACATATGTTAAAGCACCTGATGCACAGTGAGTTGGTGCCCAGTAAAAGCTTGTGCATAAAATGAAATAAATCCTTCTATTGCTTCCTCTTATTCCCCAGCATTTGTCATTCATTTTTTCACTCACATATGGCTGGGAGCTCTGAATAAAGGTTGCAATAAGCTCTTAAGTTTTTTTGAAACAACATCTGTAGGCACGTGGTATTCTGGCTGGAGTTTTCTATGAGCTCAGAGAACAGCAGAGTCAGAGATCAAGAATTGTTTATTGCCCTTTCTTTGTGCGGGTTACTGAGGAGCCAAAGCCAAGTTATCAGCTTTGAAACCATGCACGTGGTGCCTGACAGAATGCTGGGATTACCCTATGTTCCCCATGTGGGCACACTTTATCTCTGCGTATGAGGAACACAGATCTTTCAGTCACTTACAGAAATTGCCAATAAGAGATTTGAATTGTACATGTGTCACTTGCCTCTTGAGGTGCATTGATCACACCAATGTCATATCCAAACTGGAAGGAACCCAGTGCAGCAGTGAAGACAGTGAAAACCAAGGTCCCGGTGATCTGTGGGGAATGAAACACAGGGCTGGGAAACACAAGGCAACTTCAGTTACCTACCATCGTGTCAGTGTGCAGCTTGGACTTCTGACAGGCTCTACAGGCTGGTTCTTGCTCCTTGATACTCATTCACAGTGTGCCCTATGCTCCCAACTTCATTCATACGAGAATGCAAGAGCCATTCATCGAGGGCCCTACACTGCTAAAGCTGAGAAAAGTTTGGGACAATTTCTTCCAAGAGAGGAACGAAACATCCTTTTCCATGCATATATTTATGATTTAAAATCAGGTCTGAAGACTAGAATTTCTGCTGACTAAAGGAAACCACCGTGATAAAAACAGTCAATTTATATCATTTGAAGAGGTAAAAAAAACACCAGTAACAAAAAGGGAGTTCTCCTGGGCATTGTTATGGTACAAAAACACCTCAAAACTCATACAAGAGGCATCAGCCAGGCTTTATCATGACGACATCAATATCCAGGTAAGGATAATTTCCAAGATTTGCAACTAGTTGAATCTAGAGTTATGGATTGAAGGATGTTATTTTCTTTCCAACTCCATGTAACTACAAAACTCAGTGTAGAAAGGGACAGAACATTCATTCCCTTCAACTCATAGTTACATGTCTAACCATCTTAGAGAAATCATATCATACATATAGAATCTCATATTAGGATGTTTGATGCAGCATTGTGTGTGTGTGTGTGTGTGTGTGTGTGTGTGATAGCAAAAATCGTAAAAGAACCAAAATATCATTCAATGGAAAATGGCCAGATTCAAATACATCATGATACATACAACATGCTGTGCTGAAGCTAGAGTAATGTGATCATTTTGTACTGACTTACTGTTAAGTGATAAAGGAAGCTGTGTAATCTCACTAATTTTTATTTTTTTTAAGATTTTATTTATTTGAAAGAGAGAGAATGAGAGACAGAGAGCACGAGAGGGAAGAGGGTCAGAGGGAGAAGCAGACTCCCTGCCGAGCAGGGAGCCCGATGTGGGACTCGATCCAGCGACTCCAGGATCATGACCTGAGCCGAAGGCAGTCGCTTAACCAGCTGAGCCACCCAGGCGCCCATCTCATTAATTTTTAAAAAGGCTTAAACTTGAGCATTCTTTGATTTGCGCATGTTGTATGTAAGTCACAGAATATTTTCTTGAAGAACAGATAACAAAAGGATGACCACTGAGGAAGAATGTGAGACTAGAGAAGGGGGATAAACGAGTATTCTTTCTTTTATTTATATTATCAGACATTTTATAAGGAAATAATTTCCTGTATAATTACATAATTTAAATGTTTAAATAAATAACATGGGATATTGTAGAAACTTCACTGAACAAATGAACGAGTCATATCAACATGAATTCTAGTTCCCACTCTGATGTTTAGGGAGTATATGACCCAAACCACTTTTCCTGTAGGATCTTCAGTTTTTCTCTAAGTAGGGGGATGATTGTAAATCCCTACTCCAGCATGAAAAGTAGCTTATTAACCAAGTCCTCTCATTACCTAATAAAGCCAGAGATTAGGAATTTCAGTGTCATCATCAACAAAGTATTATCACAGAACCAGCCTGAGAGCCTTGAAGTTATGGAATCTTGGGGTTCTAAAACCAGACCCTCATTGGAGAGCTTGTTGCAGGTGTAGCTTCTTGGGATTCACCCCAGACCTACTATTGGATTGGAATCTCTGTGGTGAGAATTGGGAATCTGTAGGTTTGTTCTGTCTTTTTCCACTAATTCAGAATTAATTTCAGGTGGCACCTCTGTAGGCTTTTCTTCCCAGCAACTTCCTTCCTTCCTTCCTAAGAAAGGACTTAAAACTTTCTCCAAAGATATGATAATATTATATTATCCTAAAAGAAGCATATATATCCTATACTATATATATCCTGAAAGAAGCATATATATATCATATAGTATACATTATATATATTGAGATATAAATCATATATGCATATACATAATAAAATAATTACAAATAAATTCAAAGTATGTTAACTGTAAAATGTACCTGTGTGCACAGGTTTGTGTGTGTGCACATACACACACACAATATGCTACATGGTATGGGATTACCAGAGATTTTGAATTATCCTTTAATATTTAATTAGATATCTAATACCTAGTGCCTCAGGCAACCAAAGCTAAAATGGCTTCCATTTACTTGGTGGTTTCTCCTTAAATCCTTTTTCCCCTTCAGCTGTTTCCAGGGATGGAGAATTTTATCCTTTCATTTTATTTGTAGGAAGTAACCGTCATCATCCATGAGGGGACCAGAGGGCACCTTGACAAGGCTTCCACCCACTTCCCTGATAGTCTCCGTCACTACAATCTAGACAGTTTGATATTAGGTGCAATGCAAACACAACTTCAAGGCCTAATACTGAATATTTCTGCCTACTGCATGCCTATTTTTTGCTGTATGTGATTGTCTCTTTTAACTGTATCAGTTTTCTCTTGCAGCTATAACATATAACACAAGTTTGTTATCTTACAGTTCTTGTACATCAGAAGTCTGGTATAACTAAAATTAAGATGTTGGCAGGCTGTGTTCCTTTCTGAAGGCTGTTGGGGAAAATTTGGGTTGATGGTAGAATTCTGTTCCTCATGGCTGTAGGACCAGGATCTGTGTTTTTGTGCTGGCTGCAAAGTGAGGGCCATTCCCAGCTTTAGAGGCCACCACATTCCTTGGTTAGTGGTGTCCTTTCTCTATCTTCACAGCCAGAAATGGGCCAGTCAGGTCCTCACATTGCATCTCTCTGATCCTGACTATACCCGGAAAAGTTCTTCCCATTGAAGAAGTTATGAGATTAGATTTGGCCTATCTGGATAATCCAGGTTAATCTTCCTATCTCAAGGTCCATAATCTTAATGACATTTGTAAAGTCCTTTTTGCCTTTTAGGGTAACATATTTACACATCCTGGAGACCAAGTAACGGACACTTCTCATGACAGCACTATCAGTATCCCTATTTTATAGGTAACTAGACTAGGTTACAGTCTCACAGTCAGTAACTTGTGCAATAATGATTTAGATTCAGACCCTATGCTTTTAACTAATTGGTTATTTTGAATTTCTCATTGGTCAGAAACAGACATTCAAAAGTCAAGCACATCTAAAAATCTAGGAATATAATCTTTCTAAATAAAAAAAAAAACTAAGAGCACACATATTCATAGAATTTGCCAAGTGTGATGCTGAAGCCAACTCACCAACACCCACCAGTTTCAAGTGCATTTTCCCACTACCCACCACACAAATCCCCTCCTTCCTCATCTATCCACAGAAAACTTTTGTGACATTTCTGTACAAAAATACTAAGGGGAAAAAGCTACTCAACTGCTCCTCTGTAGCTCAGCTGAAGAAGAACCTCATGGCCTTCCCACCACCAAGCCCAGGGCCAGTTTCATCCCTGTGTCTCCTTTTCTTCCTGTAGCAGAATGTCCAAGCACTTGGTGTCTTAGTGACTGCCCTTCCCACTCCATCCCTGGGCTTCCGCTCTCTACTGGCTCTCTTCTCCTGCCCCCACCAGACAATCATATAGTTCCTTTCTTCTTATTTTAACAATCCAACTAGTCACCATGCCAATGGTGAGCAGGGGTGCTATGGAAATGGAAGTTAGGGGTGAAGGTGGTGGCCGTAGCAGATTTGGTTCCCCATAATCTCCATTGGCTCTCCCCTGCCACTCCAAATACACACTCTAAGTCACAACAGTGTTAGCTGCTCCACATTACTTTGATAAAAATGAAATTTAATTTTCAAAGACTTAAGTTCTCTGGAGCTCCTGTCTCATTACTTTCTAATCAAATTGTTCTAAGTCATTACTATAGCAATTCTGGGGCTGCCTCTAAGAACAATTTCTCATGTGATAGGAGTAACAGAAAAAAGGAACTGTGAAGGAAATAGAAGTTTTAGATGTTTAGAAATCTTAGAATGTCCTTAAAGTCCTTGTCCTCTGGTCTTACTGGCTTCTTTTTTCAGAGTTCGCTTTGGTCTTGCCATCTTGAGGGGGCAGAGCTGCAGTTTCCCCACTTAAACTTCCTAAGATAGAAATTTTACCTAGTTGGTCAGGTAAGGAACAATGTTATCAATTTTAAGAAGGTCACTTGAATTCCCAACTAAAGTGATAATCCCAAATATAGAAGTCTCTGAAACTTTGATTCCTTCTTTTCTTCCTTCCTTCTTTCTTTTTCTCTTTTTCTTTGTTTCTTTGTTTCTTTTTTTCTCTTACTTTTAGGTTTAATTTCCCTCTCTGAACCTTACCTTAAACTGGCTCTTTGGTTTCCATCTTTTCTTTTTCTGTAGTGAAATGAAAGAGATAACATTTATATTCAATCTTCTATATATTTTGGTACTAGGCTTGGACAGAAAAGTTTTGTTTATGAGAAGGGAAATTTCTGAAGACTGTTAAATCTGAATTAGCCCATCAATCCTATCCATTAATCTAGCATCCAAGAGGTTGACTGAGGATAGGTACATAGGAGCTAATGAAAACAGTGAGAACTTAGGATCTTACTTTGTCCAGGCTCTGTTCTTTCAACAACTCTGTAGGTAGTAATTATTATTATCATGTCACATACGGAAAAACCAGTACACAAAGGGTGAGGAACTTGTCCAAAGCCATATACCTACAAAGTGGCTGAAGATCTTCAAGCTTTGTCTCTCATCTCTTCATAGGCAACAAGATATTAAGCCTGACTCTTAGAAAGACTATCCCCACTTAGAGCTTAACAATTTTAAGTTAGAGAAACTAGGTTCCACATCCAATGAAAGATATGCCACAGGATAAATGTGGGAGTACACAGAATGGGCAAGTGGCTAAACCCTAACATAAAACAAAATGTGGTATTTATTTTGTGGCTTAGAAATTAGATGGGGTTTGTTAGAAAAAACAAATAGACTTGGAATTCAGAAAACCTAGAAGACTACCAGCTAGGCCCTTAATATCCCTGAATCTGCTTCTTTGCCAAAAAATGGATATCATAAAGATTAAATAAGATACTAATGTGGTCTTCCTATAAATAATGAAAGGGCTATAAAACAATTGCATCTTTAATCACATTAGCATATCATTTATCTCTCTTGTCAACCAACCACCTGTCAACTTTTCATATGTCACCAAAAATCTTCACAACAATACTACAATGTAAAAGAAATTATCCCCATTTTACAGGTGAGGAAACCAGGGCTTATAGAAGATTAAGTGATATGCTCAATACCATACAGCTAGTAAGTAACAGATATTCTAGCATTTGAACCCAGAGCTGGTGTTCTTAAACTCCCATTTCTAAGCAAAAACGCAGATTTTCAGCAGCTACAGAGTGACTGGTAGGGAGGAGAAGCTGATGTCTTTCCTCTAAACTGCATGGCTCCAAATGCCAACCTAAAGGTGATCTTGCACCCAACTTTGGAAAACTCCAGGGGCCTCTCAAGCCATAGAATTTTCATGTTGAAAGGGACCTTAGAGAACAGAGGATTCTAGTTTAATTTCTTCATTTTCCACTTGAAAAAAACTGAATTCAGGTCCTTTGTCTGAGTTAGTACATTATTGGGTATATTCAGTGTGAGAACTCAGGTGTCCTAACCCTCAGTTCCATGCTTATCCCACTTCTTTCAAAGTCTGGGCAGTTTTACAAAGCTGAAACATTGTGCTTTACATCAGTTCTCATTATTTCTGGGTTCCATTATTAGGCAATTCCTTGGTTCTCAAGAAAAGTCCTACAACAATTTCTAAAGGGAATTTAGTGATGTTCAAAATGAAGCTTGAGCATTTACTATGTGTCAGACACTGTGGTAAGCATATTACCTTCCCTTTTGCAGTCTCTTATAAACTTTAGTTATTTGAACACTACCTTTATTATTTTTGCCAAATCTACATACTATGTGTATAGTTATTAACTTAATATTTATCTTTATATCACCTTTAAAATGCTGACTACTTTAGCTTTATCCTGGGCTATAATAGGAAATCATGAAGTCCTAGTTATTTTTAAAATATATCATGTAAATGCGTAACTATTAACATTAAAATGTTTATCATCCGTCTCTCAAATATTAGCTCATTTACATACTCCCAGACCATAAAGAACTATTAGAATCCCTGTATATCTTATATCCTCTTATTATATCCCAATATGTTCTTATTTTGTCACAATATAGAAAACCCAAGGTCAGTTAAATAACTTAACTTTGGTCTCACAGCAGGTAAGTAGCATCATCACACTCCAAATCAAGCCTGGCTAACCGCAAAGTCTGTGCTCCTAGACTTGTCACTTACTCACATGAAGAAATGCTCAGCAGAGTTAAGTTACAACAGGCCAGAACTTTAGATATCCTAGTCTAACAGGGCTACAGATTTACCTACTTGTGTGATTGTGTGAAGGGGTGGGTGTGTTTGGTTGGGGAAAACTTATGAGAGAACGACAGCACTATGACCTTTTTAAGTTTTTATTTTGGAAAGTATCCTATCTATAGAGAAGTTGAAAAAATAGGGCAGTGAACATCCCATAACCTGTGTTCAGGATGGTTAGCATTTACATTTGTTTAACTTTCACTGTGTATGTGTGTACATGGACAGGTACGTATGTAGTGTGGTTGGAATCATTTGAAAATCAGTTGCAGATATTAGTGTAACTTCATTCCTAAATACTTTAGAATGTACTCACTAAGAACAAAGACATTCTCCTACATAATTACAATACCATCATCATATCCAAGAATGTAATAGATATACTAATATTATCTAATATAACAGCCCATTTTCAAAATTTCCCCAACTGTCCCCATATTGTCCCTTACAGCTGTTTTCTTCTTTCCAGGATCTAACTTGGTTGTCAGTTCTTAGTCTCCTTTTATCTAGAACAGTCCTTCTGCCTCTTGTTTTTCATTCATTGTCATTTTTGAAAATTTCAGACCAATTTTCATGATTAGTTAGATTCGGGTTAATCTACCTTTTTTTGGCACATTCCTTCAGTAATATGGTTTTGCAGAATCACTTGAGAAAGTTACACAGACTGCTCAGAAAACAGAGCAAATATCCTTAAAATTCTGAATAGATATATAAAATACTGAATGTGATACATATTTTTGCAGCTAAATGAACTATCAGTTGGCCAAGAGAAGTAGCTTCAATCTGTGGTAGCTACACCCAACATCCCCCAAATCCTCCCTATGGTCACCGACTTGAACAAATCCCCCTATTCATTTCCTCAAGCCGATTTAAAATGAACATAATGCTACTTTACCTTATCTTCTGTCATTTTATCGGTTAAGAGTCCTCCTCTTAATTCCAAGTCCTGTGGTGAGTGTGGCACATGCAGCTGGCCAGCCTTTCTTCAGCTTTCTGCTAGTTATACATTAGAGGAGGAGGAGCAAGGCAACGAAGCAGCCTGGCCATCACCTTTAAAATCTGATTTCATCAGAGGCTGAATATTGAGGAGAATCTAATCAATAAATGCTTTGCCTTAGTGACTTGTGATTTCAAACTTGTGTACCAGCAAAAGAAAATGGGAGCAGGTCCCTCAGGCGTAAGTCACAAACCAGAGATGGTCACACTTTAACACGTTAAGTACACCAGTAACCAGGAACAGGTGAAAAAAGAATTCTTCGGGGTCTTTTGTAGAGATGAGATGCTGGGTTGATGTTTCATGTTGTGGGGATGACAAAGATGAGGGACATGGGAGGCATGCTGCACTCTGCTCTACAGAGAACCAGAACTGTGGTGTTTGTGCTTTAGAGCTGGGCTGTTTGGCCAGAGGCCACTGTAGGCTTGAGTGGTTTACCTGAATGAGCTTTTGAGAACTATGAACTTGGGTTTGAATCTTAATTTACTGATGGTATTACCTTAAGCAGTTGGCTCCCAGTGACTTTTCTGCACCTTAGTTTTTCACTGAATAAAATGAAAACAGAACACACTTTGTTTTGCTAAATGGATCAAATGTGATAGGAAAGTGGTTAGCCTAGTGCATAATAAGTGCTCAGCAAAATGTAGGTTATTATTGTTTTTGCAATTATTATTGGTTTGGTGTATGTCTAGAGGTGCTTGTTGGAGTGTAGAGTTCTCAAATAAATCTGCTCATTTGGCTTGAGTCTGTCCCTTCTTCTTCTTCTTCTTCTTCTTTTTTTTTTAAGATTTTATTTATTTTTTTAAGAGAGAGCAAGCAAGAGAGAGCCCGAGCTGGGGGGAGGGGCAGAGAGAGAGGGAAAGGAGACTCTCCACTGAGCCGGGAGCCGGATGTGTGGATGTGGGGCTAGATCCCAGGTCTCTGGGATCATGACCTGAGCCAAAGGCAGAGGCTTAACTGACTGAGCCACCCAGGCACCCCGAGTCTGTACCTTTCTGTGTCTCCTCTATAATGTTCAGTCCCTGTGGGAGCCCAGACAGTATCAAAATTTGCTGAGCTTGAACTGTGTGTGGCAACTATTGTCACTTGGTTCCACTGAGGCTCAGCCAGAACCAGTTCCCAGCAGAGGAGATCTCAGACAGTCCCCTAAACCAGGATGTTATGAAGAAGCAGTGACAAAGTGAAGAGGTAAGGGAGACTCTGATTTCATGTGTCTTTTATTTCACCACCACTCTTTTATTTCTATTACCTCTGTGGGGCAACCCAACTGAATAAATAATTCAGCTCAGACCACAAACTTGAGACCAGCACAGTCCCAGGCTCTGAAATGCATGAGATAAACAAGACAGTTAGGAGTTCACAATGTATAAGAACAGACAAACGGAATCACAAACACTCAATACAGTTTTGTTTTTTTGTAGAAAAACACTAATGAATACTATTAGTGATAGTTAATCTTTATTGAGTTGTTGCTTGTTGCCAGGCGCTGCTCTCTGCATTTTACATGGACTAACCCGGTCATCACAACGCAAGGCATTCTCCGTTGTAGAGCTAAGCTTTGGGGAGCAAAGTTAGCCCAGTTAGCTCACACGGACGTTAGTGCATAACCAGCGCCTGGCTTTCTGCACCAGTCTGGGCTGGTGTTGCGCACTCCCACTTATCAGAGCGTCCACAATCAGGAGAGAATTTAGCAATCATTTTCCAGGGACAGACAATCCTAGCCCTGGGAGGACTGCTATCCACTGACACTGAAAAAAAGTCTTTGGGCGCCTGTGAAAAATGAGTTACCTTCTGATTTTTACCAACCTTTTTTTTTTTTGAATCTTCCTTTTAAGAGACAGAAATGGGCTTGAATGCGGCTGGGTTTCAGGTGAGCCTTTAACTTTTCCTGCCGGGTCGGAGCTGCGCGTGCGTGCAGGGAGCTGTTCTCTTCACTGGGAGAGCGCTCTCGCTAACCCGGACAGACAGGGGACCTTGAGCCACCCAGACCAGTTTCCTCTGGTTTAGCCAGCACCTCTCTTGTTAGGCTCTTGCTCAGAAATGAATACACTCTGCACCATTTAGGGATGGGCTGAAACTATCTCCGGAGTGGGGGTGGAGGGAGTCAGCTACAGTGATTGCCTTGGTGGATTTTAGCCCTGGGAGGACTGTTATTCCATTTCGGCCTCTCAGGAGAGTTTGCCCAAGTGCCCACCAGAGGAGCTGCGGGTCCGATGCACGGAGTTATATTCGTGTTTCCCTGGCTGTGATAAAGTCAGACTTTTTGTGTTTTGCTGTCGGGCTGGGGGCCGCTCAGAGAGGTGCTTCAGTGCCCATAATTACCAAGAGATCCCGGCTGGGTGGGGTGAAACCAGTTCTGTGTGGTTGTTCTTTAGGCTTCACACTTTAAACCCATTAGGTCAGATTTTGATTACATCGTGATTAATTTAATCTTCGTAATAGATACCAATAGCTCTAGGTGGTGAGAATTTCCAAGTATAGAAAAGAGCCTCTTCTTTTTTCATTATTTATCTTCCTTTCAGTAACACAAGACTTTAGCTTATTTCTATTAAAGCGAAGAAAGAGCATGCTGCATTCCTCTGTCATTGGGGCGGGTGCGGGTAATGCAAAGATATCTCTGGGGAACCGAATCAAGTTAAGTTCAAACTGGGCCAAGCTAGGAGCGCAAGGGAGTACTGGAAACTCCTTGTTCCTGAGGAAGTCCAGTGTATTTTAAGATTGCTGAGTCAGATTTGTCCTTATTGTAGCTTGCCTCTTCTCCCCCTCTCTAGTTACTCTCTGGTCCGAGCCACTAGCATCTCTCCTGACTGTAACTACCTGGCCTCCCTGTCCCCATTCATACCCTACAGTCCCTTTTGACTGAACAACCAACAGTGATTTAAAAATTAAATCAGAACATAACCCTCTTAGTTTAAAAGTATCCGGAGGCTTCCCAGTCACCCTTAGAAGGAAACCCACATTTTTTACTGTGGCAGGAGAGGTGAATTTGGTGTAGCATTCATTCCTTGATGCTGAGACCTTCTCTCTTACTCTTCTCCTTTTCTGCTCAGCCACACTGGCCTCAGACTTGTTTAATGTGTTGCAGGCTCAGCACCTTTGTACTGCATGGGCCTCTGCCTAGAGCTGTCTGCTCCAGATTTGTATGTGGGGCCTGGCACTTCTGCATTCAGATGACAGCTCAGACTCTCTAGCCAGGCTTCTTGAGTGGACACCACCTACCCCTTCCAACTCATTCTCAGTCTTGTTACTCTGCTTTATTTTCTTCATAGCACTTATGCTTGAAATTTTATTTACTAATATTTTATAATTAAAACATTAAACATTTGAATAAGTTAATGAATAATAATTATAACAATATAATAATTGTTATCTATAACAAATTAGTTGTTATATTAATAATTAAAATATTTAATTGTTTAAATATTAAAATTATTTTAATTAAAATTTATTATTTTATTATTTACTTGTCTATTATTCATTGTGTTCCACTTCCCCACCATGCCTAAGTCCCATGAATGCAGAGACCTTGCCCGTTTTGTTATTTCCAGCGCCTGTGAGAGTGCCTGGTACACTCAATAAGTATTTGTTTAATAAATGAAGGAAGTTCAAGAAGAGTTGCCACGTGCTTTCTTGCAGTGGGGTTGGAGGAGTCTGAGGCTGGCATTGGACATTTATTGATTTAACGTTCAATAAATGCAGTATTTACCCTGCATTTTGCTAGGCACCAGTTACAACAGGGAACGGAACAGACAGTCTCTGCTCTCATGGGGCTTACATTCTATAAAAGAAACAAAATGAGTACTGAGGAAGAGGACAACAGGGGGCGCCCACTTTAGAAAAAACGAGTTCAGAAACATGTTCTTTGAAGAGATGTTTTTGTCCTTGATACCTGAAGAATGGGCAGGCAGGGTGGAGGGGGAAAGTGTGTGCCAAACTTGAGGGAGGAAAAATCTTAGGTTGAAGAATAAGAGAAGTTTAGTTAAAGCAAGGGAGCAAGAGGAAGTGGCAAGGGATACTACTGGGGAAATAGACAGCAGCTGTGCTCAGGCAGGGCTTTGAAAGCCATGGGAATGAGCTTGGATTCATGCCAAGGGCAATGGGAACTCACTGGAAGGGATTAAGCATGGCAGGGATATGATCCATTATATGTTTTAAGATTACTCATGCTGTTGAGTGAGGGGTAGTTTGGATGGGGTACCCGTGAAAGAGGAGAGACACAATTAATTGCAAGGCTCTTACAACAGTTCATACTTGCTATTGACCACCAAAATAATGGTGGTAGCGGGGAAGGAGAAGTAACAAATTCAAGATATATTTTGGCAATGAAGCGGGACTTTTTCTTAATTGTTTTGGGAGAGGAAAAACTCAGGATGGCTGATAGGTTTCTGGCTTGTTAAATTGGGATGATGTAATGCTATTTAATGCTACAGGTGCTGGGGGATTGTTTATTCATCTGAGTGATCATCTAAGTTCACCTCCCAGACCTCAAGGAGGGTTGCAATAAAATAATCAAAACATATATATTTTGTTTTACTTTTTCAAAGTTAAACTTTTTCAAGTAATTGTAGTTTCACATGTAGTTGTAAGAAATAATACAGAATTCCCAATATACCCTTTTCCCAGTTTCCCCCAATGTAACATCTTGTAAAGCTACAGCATAATATCACAGGATATTCACATAGGTAGTAAAGATACAGAACATTCCCATTGCCACAAGGATCCCTCATGTTGCCCTTGTATGGCCACACCTATTTCCCTCTTACCCTTACTGACTCCCAAACTGTGGCAACCACTAATCTTTCCTCCATTCCAATAATTTTGTCATTTAAAGAATGTAATATAAATGGAATTAGCTAGTATGTGTATTGGTCGGTGTTCTCCAGAGAAATAGGACCAAAAGATGTGTGTATATACATGAGAATATGAGAAAAAGATTTATTT